CAGCAATAAAAAAGCAGAACTGAGATCCAACACAATGAGAATACTTAAGTTCTCAGAATTAATGAAGAATTAAGAGAGCATGTCAGTCCTGTAGAAAGTAGTGAAACCAGATTGGAAAGGTCTTAAAGATTATACTGTAGGCAGATGTGACTGCAGCAATAATTCTTGGATTTGCAGTTGCCAAGTTCACAATTATCTTAAGTGAGGATAGGACGGTAGCTCACAAGACAATTAGATAGTGTTGATTGGATAGCTGAGTCGAAAAAAAAGTAGGGCAAGACTTGATTTTGTCCATTGGGAATTGATTGGGTTATTGTATATTTCTGCGATCTCAAGTGAGTGTCAGGTCGCAGGATGCGAGGTATTATTTTCCAATCCTCTCACCTGTGCACACATCATCAGAGATATTTTTGCAAGTGTGAGGAAAACTTTTAATTTTGATTAAAGATTACAAGAAAAAAATGTGCATTTATATATTTAATTTATACTAAAAACACTGCAATATTCTTTTTTTTTTTTCAATAAGGATGGTCAAGTTTGATTTTATTTTGACTTCAAAAAAAATCTGCCTCAGACATCACAGATATGCAAAATCTGAAGTGTTAATATATGGGTCCAGAATTAATTATTAAATAAATGAGCTGGACCTCTTTGCCTCTATTCTTTTTTTTTAAGAAATTGTGAATCTAGGACTTACATTCCAATATCTCAACATGGTCCAATTTGCAAAATTCTGCTACTTCAACATTAACAAAACAACATTACATGGAAAATTCATCAGTGGTAATAAACTTTAAAATGTGTGCAAATACTCTGTACTGTTTTGGATGCTGTATAAGCAATTACTCTGTATTTAGCAAATACCAACCTCTGTTTGTCCTTCCTGGGCGCTTGACTCATGTGTTACTCGGATACTCTGAAATCATAAAAATATCAGTACTATGAAGAAAAGTTTAGTTTGGTTAATTCCTTCAGAGGCCATTCAGTTGCAATAAATATATAATATTTTATCACCTCATCTTTTTCAAGGAAAGCTGCCTTTTCTTCTGGGCTCATCTTTGCAGACTGCAGTAAAAATGCCTTAAGCGGTGAATTGGGCTCTGTCAAAAAAAGAAATGTCATGACCATCCCACAAACAAGTGCACCGACTAATATTTTTCAAAACAGGTGAAATCACTCCAAAAAAACTGATACTTACCAAACTCCAGATACCTTTGATTGTTTGCCACAGCATGAATCAGCCCTATTGTACCACAAGCATTGCCGATGGTTTGTTTCGTGAAGTACACATCCGAGGACAACTCTTGTCCTTGTGCCTTAATTTTTGCCTCCTCCTCCTGTCTAAATGTTTCATACTACATTGAGGAAAAGGATATTACTAAATTTTAATTTACAGTAAATATCACTTAAAGGTTCACTAAGCGATTTTGAATAACACTTTTGACCACAGTGTCTGACTGAGTCCCAAAACACACTCACAGCCAATCAGCAGTAAGGGGCGTATCTAGTGATGATAGGGAGAAGAGAACGCTCAGTGAGTGCACAGGACGGATATTAGCTGATCAACTATAGATAGCGAGAGATGGCAGATAAAAAAAGAGGAACATTTCGGAAGAACAAAACATTAAAAAGAAGGGCTACGATCAGGCAAGAGGACCCGCATTGGAGCAGCTTTCCAGCGGTGGAGAGAACGCAAGGAACGGAAGGGAATCGGACGCCGAGGTTGCTTTGTTTCTTGATAGGTGAGTTACATTGATTTTGCTTTTTCACACAACTTTTCTGTGTTGGCTTCTGTTTGAATATGCTGTGGCTGGCAGGCATAGCAGATTCCGCCATCGTCGCTGCCAGGGTTGTGTTCGTACGTGTGGGGCGGAGTTATCAAAATAGGGTGAGGTCCTGTTGGGGTATGGGCAGTTTTGTTTTGGTGCTTTCAAATATCAACATCGTTTGGAAAAAATCGCTTAGTGCATCTTTAAAATACTAATAATAATTTACAAGAATGACAAAGATGCTTTATTCATCTGACTGGAATTTGATTATGAATATAAAATCAACTCCTCAAGGACTTAGAGGTACAGGACTTGCAATCACACAAATTACTAATTGTTTTTTTAAGCTAGTTACATAAAAACGTAGAATTGATCTAATTGAATTAAAAAAAAAACTAAAAACCAATAGTCTTAATATAGAGTCTACGTTTATGGCCACAGGACTGTGTAACAATTTTTTGTCACATCCTGTGTCATGCTGAAACCTAACTACCCTCATTTTATTTATTTATTTATATATATATATATATATATAAAACATTCACAAGTTTTTATACTCTTATTGTTTCTAACACTAATTACATAACCACAAAATGATTATTGGTAAACTATCACTTCAACTGAACAAAATGCTCAAATCATCATAAATATCATTAGAAATGTTGGTGCTGCAAATTCAGTTATTTCATTTTATTTTGAGTCATGGTGAAGAGAGAAACTCGTGATGAGACTTTTCTGTTCCGTTTTATTTAGACCTAATCTTTAGTAAAATAATACACCACTTTAAAATATATATTAAAAGGGAATTACCATATCATGTCAAATAGAGAAAGAGCCTTGCATAAAAAAATCTATAAAACTATGATCTGATATAATTTGCAAGCTTAGTTGATGCCAGCAACAACCGTATCCAGTTGCAACTTCATCATTTACAAACAGGCATCTATAAATACAGAGCTTGTTTGCTGACATGAAGTCAATATGGGTATAAACTGCAGTCATACCTTCTCTGTTATAGGAAAGAGCAAAAGTACAGCACACACAGGCCTCGGCACCAAACTGAGAACTTCAGCTTCCAAACCGTACACATCTCCAAACTGCCAGGTGGGTACCAAGCCAAGCTGCCGTAAAAACTTAACAAAAGTATAACACAACACATACATATTAAATACAAATCATATTTCACAAGACTAGTAAAGGTTAGTATGGTGAGAGGCACACAAGGGCCTACACAATCTAGAAGCGTTTCTATTTAAACATATCAATAAACTAATGTGGAACATAAAATACATTTCACATTAGTGCAAATACAGTAAGGTAAAAACATAGATATTAAGCGCAGTACTGCTGATAAACATAACAAACCAATGTTGATGCAATTAGCTTTAACACAAACGTGCTTTAATAAACCTGATTCATTCATTTGGCACAAGTTTTGAATCCTAGACACACCCAGACAGACGAGACCTCTACTCACTTGGTTCATAACCTGAAAAGCAGACACAGAACACAAAACAGTATCATATAAAATATGATGTCAAAGACATGAGCTGCAGCTTACCGTTCCTGCTAAAAGCTGCCTTTGAAAAAAAAAAAAACCGAGCCCATGAACGATATAAAATTGAATTAACGACAAAAATCTTGCGATCGTGAGAAATTCATACCTCTGGGTTGGCTTCCAGTGGTAACCAGCGCTGGCCCTCCATCTCAGATTAAGCCCCGTCTGATATCCTAAATAAAAAAGATGATATTGCTAGCTCGAGCAATGGTGTGCAGACGCTTTGACAGCTGAGGAGGAAGTTCAAGGGAATATGTGAGTGCGGGTGTGTGAATTCAGCAACTGGCCTGACGTCACACCTGAAGTGCAGGCTTAAATTCCAAAATAAAATTTACCGCTTGGTCGCGATTGTCAGTGAAACACTCTCTTATATTAGGGACGATGCGGCATCATTCATGTTGTTTAGTGTCACGAAGGTATTTGATGCTCTGACCACGTTTACATGGAAAATAGCCAATTTTCTATTCAAGTCGATATTGTGGTCAAGCCTTTATTCTGAAATACACATAATCCCCTCTCTTTTTGTGTTATGTGATTGTTTTAGCATTTATTTGTTATTTTTCTTTAAAACATTACTAGTTTATATTATGTTATTGATATCCTCCTGAGAAGCAGGAATTTTTTTTTGTTTTTTTTTGTTTTTTTTGTCATTACATTGGTTGGAGCAAAATGGAGAAAAACATTCTTAAATATATATTTTAATATATTTATTAAATATATATTTTAAAAGTATATTTTATTCGTTGTAGAGGACGCCAGGACTAAGTTATTCAAAAAATAAACCGACATGAAAAGGCATGTAAGGCAAAAACTATGTTTTATTTTTTTCATTCACCAATCACTTTTTAGGTTTCAGGCTATTTTTAACCAAAATTTGTACAAAGATGATTCTCAACTATGTTATGAAAGATATAACAGAATGGTTTGATATACTACTGTACTTTATGGAATATGTGCGTGAAATGTCCATAAATTGGGTTTCCCATTCTATACATTGCATCTAATTTGCATATTGATGTGTTCTTGGGGCAAAGCATAATAATAATAAAAAGAAGTGTAATAATGGGAGTAATAACTTGGCAACATTTTCATAAGAATATCTCATATTTCATAGGAATATTGATCTATAATTTCTTTCCCTATTGACTTGTTGTGTCTCCCCAAAATGCCAGATTACCATGCCGTTTGTCCTGGTGTCCTCTACAGAAGACATGTATGAAAAGTATGCCCTGTTTTGTAACAAAAAGTCATATTTCGATTTGCAACCCCATAACATTTTTCTGAGATTTTTATTTATGACAAACAATTAAAAAAATTGGGCAGATTTAAATGATAATTACAAAACATTATCAGATTTCCCTAAGAGTGCTAAATTTGATAATTCTGTCAATATCAGTCTTATCTAAAGACCAAGGAGAGGGAGTGTTTATGATCAAACCTCCAAACATTTGATATCTCTAAAAAAAGCCCTGAATGTGCTCTGTACAGGACATCCAAACTGTGGCATGTATAGTCTCAGAGAAATTCACTAAAATATAATGTCCTCCCTCTACAGAGTTCAAAGTCTATGCCTCCTCCCAGGAGCATATTATGACATTTTCCAGTACCTGGAGGAGGATGGTGCGCTGCAGGTGTCACGTTGCAGATTTAGTCCAGTAGGTGGCGATACTTAAGCAGTTGATTCTACAAACAATATTTACAGCAAGAGAAGAAGAATTTTAAGATTCCGCGGCGATGTTTGGTTTTAAATGAGTATAAACCGAGTTTATTTGTATGCTAAATATTTGTTATCCGAGTAGAAATGCATTTTAACAAGTATAAAGATAAATATAATCAAGAGTCGAGTTTGTCGTCTTCTTTTATTACTGGTAAGTAGTCGGAATATAGATTCATATTGTTAACGGTTTTATTATTCCGCCGTGGTATTATTATCATCAGTCATGTCTTCATTACAGCTCCCAATGATAAAACGCTGATAATGGCGTCTAAAGAGAAGAAGGAAAACAAAAGAATGGGCAAACAGACGGCAACTGTGTACGCAGCAAAGATAAAGACCAAGATACACAGTAAGAAATGCTAAACAGATTTACCTGTTTGCATTACTAGTGTAGTTTGTGTTACTGGTGTATGTTGTGAGTTGACCAATGGCAATACCCGGACCTTCATTATCTCTCAGATACCTCATCATTCTTCAAGCTTTCTTTGAAAAGTAACAACAAGGCTCTGACTCTGGCTTTGGTTGCTCAGAAGCAGAAGAGCAGAGAGCTGGAGGCAGAGGTGGTGCGACTGAGGAAAGAAGCACAGACAAATCATTTTGATCTTGCTCAACAGCGTCATAAAAACAAACAACTGGTGAGTCTGTGACAGTGAAGTATGAATTTCAGTCTTGGATACCTGACCCTTATATTTATGTACTGTACACTTATATTTGTATACACTTATTTATGCTGTACAGGCATAAGTCAAAATCAGTCTTATATTTATTGAACACATTGACCTTGTACTGTACTTTAAAAACAACGAACATACATCATTATTAATTATTCATAACAATATATGTAGTTAATGTTTTTTTCTGACTCTAGTTTGCCATTATACGAGAGTTTTATGACTCTTCCCTTAACTGGATGACAAAGGCAGTTGATATTTTTTGCAATGAGGAGGTAAGCTGTCAATATATTTTTTGAATAATTAAATTATATTGCTATTTTTGTTGTTATTAATAATGATCAGCATAGTAGTAATATTTATTATTATCATGACTTTGTTGATTGTTTCACAAATAGCTAATTGTTAAATAGACACAACATTATTATGAACTATTTTCATTATAATTAATTTAATGTTAATAATACTCATTATTATTATTTTTAAAGGATCCAGACTCTGGACACAACGCCAGTAAAGGTATGAAAACACATTGTAGACTGTTCATTGATTACAAGTTTCCTTAAGTATGTCAGTCAAGTTTAATTAAGTTTGAATGATTGGCACTGTAATGCCAATTTATAGAAATTAACCTGATATGAATTTCCTTGTAATTTAAAGCTAAATACGTCTTGATGATGTTTTTTTTTTTAAATATTTGTGATTTATTTTTCAGACCACATGATTGAAATAGAGAAAGAGGTTGGGAGTTTGCAAGACAAACCATTGTGTCCACAGCAGAACTATGACCATTCTGAACCAGTGAATACAGTCGGTGATGATCCCAGCCAAGAAAGAGACAGTCCAGCACAGCAAAACACCATATATGACTCTGAAATGGAGGTGACCCTTAGTGACAGTGCTGCTGAAATAGTAACAGTTGAAACAAATGCAAGAAGAACCTCTAGAGTTACAGAGGAACATCAAGAAAAGAAGGGTTTGTGTCTGTCAGAAAAAGATAGTGTGGTTATATCTGCAAAGTTAGACTCACCAATTGAATTTAGTAGATCAGATTATACATCAGCTGTGCCAAATGAGACGACCGCTGTGACACAGCAGTGCTCTCCTACTGTTCAGAATGAAGTGGAAAATGGGCAGCAAACAGAGTCAATAACTGCACGCAGGAAGACTCACGTCACCTCTCGTACTAAAAGTAGCAGACGTACAGGTAAACGGAAAGAACCATACCCAGATCCAAGAAAAACATACGTAATCTCCCAAGATCCTCCTTATGACATTTTTAACAATTGTTTTAGTGATCTCGAGCTTCAGAATTCTGAAAGAAGCAAGGCAATTGAAAATACTTCAAGTAAAGCTGTTAAAAACAAAGCTAAAGAGTCCCATGCTACGCAGGAACCCAGGAGAACATTTATAGTTCAAGATGAGCTAAGACCTCAGAAGATCAGGAAGACCAAAGTTTTGTCCCTTATGATGGATCACGGTTTATCTGATGTTCATGAAAATGTCCAGTCTGCCAGTAGTTTATGCTTCGAGTCTACTGGTACTGATGTGCATGTCGGTGAGACCGCTGTTCAAAAACATAAAAACAAAACTCCAGCACACCCACTTCCTCAGTCTGAAAAGTGCAAGACACAGAAAAACAGAGGAACATTTGTGATACAGGCAAGTCAATCATTCGCTGCAAACCTCTCCAGTGCACGCTGTAAGTCTTGATTTGATGAAGCCAACAGGACCACATCATCCGCAAAAAGCAGAGACGATATCTTGCAGCCACCAAAACAGACACCGTCCGCTCCCTGGCTGCTCCTAGAAATTCTGTCCATGAAAATAATGAACAGAATCGGTGACAAAGGGCAACCCTGGCGGAGTCCAACATGCACTGGAAACAGGTTACTGCCGGCAATGCGAACCAAGCTCCTGCTCCGGTCATACAGGGAACGAACAGCCCGTAGCAACGAGCCCTGAACCCCATAATCCTGAAGTACCTCCCACAGGATGCCACGAGGGACACGGTCGAATGCCTTCTCCAGGTCCACAAAACACATATGGACTGGTTGGGTAAACTCCCATGAACCCTCCAACACCCTAGTGAGGGTATAGAACTGGTCCAGTGTTCCACGGCCAGAGCGAAAACCGCATTGCTCCTCCTGAATCCGAGGTTCAACTATCGGTCGGATTTTTCTTTCCAGTACCCTGGCATAGACTTTCCCAGGGAGGCTGAGGAGTGTGATCCCCCTATAGTTGGAACACACCCTCCGGTCCCCTTTCTAAAAAAGAGGGACCACCACCCCGGTCTGCCAGTCCAGAGGCACCGTTCCCGAACTCCACGCAATGCTGCAGAGGCGTGTCAGCCAAGACAGCCCCACAACATCCAGAGACTTGAGAAACTCTGAGCGGATCTCATCCGCCCCCGGAGCCTTGTCACCGCAGAGTTTTTTGACTACCTCAGCAACTTCAGCCAGGGTGATGGATGAGCCCCCCGAGTCCCCAGCCTCAGCTTCCTTTATGGAAGGCATGTTGGAGGGATTGAGGAGATCCTCAAAGTACTCTTTCCACCGCCCGACGACATCCTCAGTTGAAGTCAGCAACGCACCACTTCCACTGTAAACAGTGTTGGCGGAACACTGCTTCCCCCTTCTGAGCCGCCGGACGGTTTGCCAGAATCTCTTTGAGGCCGACCGAAAGTTTTGCCATGGCGAGTACCCTGGCATAGACTTTCCCAGGGAGGCTGAGGAGTGTGATTTCCCCCTATAGTTGGAACACACCCTCCAGTCCCCTTTCTTAAAAAGAGGGACCACCACCCCGGTCTGCCAGTCCAGAGGCACCGTTCCCGAACTCCACGCAATGCTGCAGAGGCGTGTCAGCCAAGACAGCCCCACAACATCCAGAGACTTGAGAAACTCTGAGCGGATCTCATCCGCCCCCGGAGCCTTGTCACCGCAGAGTTTTTTGACTACCTCAGCAACTTCAGCCAGGGTGATGGATGAGCCCCCCGAGTCCCCAGCCTCAGCTTCCTTTACGGAGGGCGTGTTGGAGGGATTGAGGAGATCCTCAAAGTACTCTTTCCACCGCCCGACGACATCCTCAGTTGAAGTCAGCAACGCACCACTTCCACTGTAAACAGTGTTGGCGGAACACTGCTTCCCCCTTCTGAGCCGCCGGACGGTTTGCCAGAATCTCTTTGAGGCCGACCGAAAGTCTTCCTCCATGGCCTCACCAAACTCCTCCGCTTATCCGAGGCTGGGTCGTGTGGGCAGTAGTTCGAGCAGAGCCCCCCAGACTTCCCTCTCCCCGAGTTTTTGCCACTGCCGCGTTCTGCTTGGCCCGCCGGTACCCATCAGTGGCTTCAGGAGTCCCATGGGTCAGCCAGACCCGATAGAACTCCTTCAGCTTGACAGCATCCCTTACCTCCGGTGTCCACCACCGTGTTCTGGGATTGCTGCCACGACAGACGCCAGAGACATTACGGCCGCAGCTCCGAACTGCCGCCACGACAATGGAGGTGTGGAACATAGTCCATTCAGACTCAATATCCCCAGTCTCCCTTGGGACCTGGTTGAAGCTCTGTCGGAGGTGGGAGTCGAAGACCTCTCTGATGGTGGCCTCTGCCAAACATTCCCAACAGACCCTCACTATGCGTTTGGGCCTGCCAGGTCTGTCCGGCCCTCTCCCCCGCCATCGGATCCAACTCACCACCAGGTGGTGATCAGTTGACAGCTCAGCCCTTCTCTTTACCAGAGTGTCCAAGACATATGGCTGAAGATCAGAAGAAACGACTACAAATTCGATTATAGACCTCCAACCTAGGGTGTCCTGGTGCCACGTGCACTGATGGACACCCTTATGCAACTGGGGGGCTATTAACAAGCCCACACCAGCTCGCTGCCTCTCACCCTGGGCAACGCCAGAATAGTGGAGAGTCCACCCTTGGTCGAGAAGAGTGGTTATAGAACCCAAGCTGTGAGTGGAAGTGAGCCCGACTATATCTAGACGGTATCTCTCAACCTCCTGTCATCATGGTTTCGGGCTGAGCCCTGCCAGGCCCCGTGGGCATAGACCTGGCCACCAGCCAGGCCTGGCTCCAGGGTGGGGCCCTGGTGACCCCATACCGGGCAAGGTGAACGAAAGCCTTGATTTAATCGTCATCATAAAGGGCTTTTGATACGCACTTTGTCTCATCTGTCACCCAGGATCTGTTTGCCATGAGTGATCGTACCAGGGGTATATAGCCCCAGGCAACAGCTCCTGAGATCATTCAGGCACTCAAACTCCTCCACCATGCTAAGGTGACGGTTCAAGGAGGGGCTTAAATAATATAGCACAGTCTAAAGTAATACAATAAAATATAATGCATTTCTGTCTTAATTTTATTTTTATTTTTTTACAGCAAGATGAGGCGTGGGGACAAATACTCTGATACTAAATTCTTAAACTCTCCGGTGTTCAAAGACAAAAAGAAGAAGAAATTAACTTAGGACTGATTTTCCCATTTATTGATTTCAGATTTTTATTTGGTTTTTCTCTACTTTTTGTCTTTTTATGTAATGCAAATGTTTAATAGAATGATATTAAAGTATTAAATCATTTTTAATCACAGCGGTTAATTTGCCTTTATAGCTCAGTTTCATTCTTGTGTATATATAGGAAATATTGTTTGAATTTGAGATGATATTTATTTTAATGGTTGATAAAGAGAACCTGCTCTATTCACAATTTATTATTAACTTAATTCTGCTTTTCAACCCTTTGTGGCATTTATTACTGGTCGTATGGAAGTCCGCTTTGCTCATTTCCTCATCTCTTTACTATCAAGATATATATAGGAAAGTTGAGTCTGTGTGTTATGTAACCAGGCACTGGCCGACAGTGTTATAGTGATTGAAGGACTGAATGAATAATTTAGAGGACTGTTCACCTGAGACGCCGACAATTCTGAGATCGAGTAGGAGTGTCTGTTTAACCAGTTTATATTGTCTGAAAGTAGACCAAAACATCTTATAGTTATAGTTATATAGTTATCTATCTTATTGTGCTGTCAGGAAGTGTTGGTATACGAGTTTTAGGTAAGTTTCAACGAGTTTTCTTTGTTTAAAATAATTTCTGTGTTTTCGTGAAAAATTATCATTTTCTATTTGTAGAGGTGATCAGTCTTATTAAGAAAAGGCATTGAATTCAAATGTTTTGAGCTTATAGCCACAGACTATTTTTTTTAAATTTAATCAGTATTTTTTTTCCAACTTGTATCTTTCAAATGTTAGTTTCATCAGATGGTAACCTAACACTTGTGTGTTAGACATCCTATCTCAATTTTCCTGTTCGTAATAAGCCAAAATATAGTTTGCTTCCTGTGTTTAGTCTTACCCCTGGCAGAGGATTAACTACTAGGTAAAGTTCTACTCGTGGTGTTTTTTGTTTTGTTTTTTATGTGTAATGTTTATTTTTTCTAATGTTGCTGTTTTAATGGGATTTCTGCTATTGTTCCAGACTAAATTTTTAAATAAAGACATTTAGAATTAAGTGTTTCAACTGAGTGTTTCAAATGGAGGCCAAGCGAGTGAAGAGAGATGTTAAAACTTCGCTGTAAGTAGCATGAAATAAATTTACTGTACTGTATCAGGATAAATGTGATCATAAATTGTTCATATGTAAGGACACACTTTCCGAACAAAGTTTTTTAAAAACCTTTTTAGTGGTGAATATATTGGACAGCGACTCAGAGAAAATGGTTTTGATCCAAAGGGGAAAAGCACTTCAACAATGTTAGATGATCTGGTAAGTCATCAATATTAACGCGAAAGTTTAATATCAAAGGTTAGGGTTGTCCTATTGAAAGAGTATAAATATTAGTTGCTATTGTTCTTATTTCAAATGTTATAGAATGTTATACAGTGGGTACGGAAAGTATTCAGACCCCCTTAAATTTTTCACTCTTTGTTATATTGCAGCCATTTGCTAAAATCATTTAAGTTAATTTTTTTTTCCTCATTAATGTACACACAGCACCCCATATTGACAGAAAAACACAGAATTGTTGACATTTTTGCAGTATAGAAAAACAAGATTCAACAATCTAGGGGACTGTATTGCTAAATATGTTCTAAATACATCTCTGCACATTCATGTAGGCCAATTATGACTTGACTATAAGTGTGGCTTTGTGGTGGCTCAGTAAAGATGATGAGAAGAATGCAGCTGAGAATGACATGTGAGTAATTTATATGACTGGCATTTATGTGTTTGTTCCACAGATTTACTTTTATGTATGCTGTATTTTACCATATATATTTTTGTGGCTCACATTTGGCAATGATATATTTGTAGAGGAATTGGCAGTTTAAGACATATTAGCCAGTACCCTAATCACCTGGAAAGAGAAGCAATGATCCTTTCTTCATTTGCTGGAATGCTTTTGGTAGGGATAAGTAACTGGTTTCAACAGCATTTGTGTTTTTGTCCACAAGCTGTATCATTGTCCTCTCATTTTCAGAACAGCTTACCCATAGAAGACATTCTGTCTCTGTACAATTGCAAACCAGTGGCATCTTACCCTCATAATCATGTTAAGGTATGTTACAGTATTTATGATAGTATGTTTGTCATGTGAGTGAACAAATGTCATGCAGGATGAGATTTGGAAGTGATATACATCCGGTCTGAAAATAGGAACCCTTAAAATTGTTGTTTAGTCTGGCTCTTCACATAATGCCACAATAATGCCAAGAGGGAGCCTCAGCACATTTCTGAAGGATGACTTAAAATTATTATTTTTTATTTACTTATTAAAGTAATCTTTATATTAAAGTCATCTAATTGAAGTAAATGATGGCAAATAAATAATGAAATAATGCAATAATATTGAATTGAGGTTGTTTAAATATATCAATATTAAAAACAAGCAGCTTTTTCATAATTACTGTATCATCGATTTTATAGTTTTTGAGATTTCTGAAAAGGATGATCACAATCTATTTTTCCACAACAGGGCAACATTGTTCACCCATTCTCCCTCTCTTATCATCCATTTTCTATGCTCAGTTCATTCAAAGCAGTAGACCACTCAAGAAAACACAGTATGCGACCTTATAGCAGTCCAGGGGCGCCGCTAGCAATTTTGGGCCCTATGAAAGAATATGAGGTTGGGCCCCCTACCGCACCAAACATACACTATATTGCCCAAAGTATTGGGACACCCCCTTCTAATGAACAGGTTTGACTACTTTAGTAATTTCCATGAGTACAAATAATAATGTTTAAGCATATAATGATATTCTAGGGAAGTGTGTGCTTCTAATTGTATACCAATAGTTTGAACATGACCCTTTTCTATTCTAACACAACAATGCCTCTGTTTATAAGGCAAGGTTAAAAAAAATTGTATTTCCATCTTTGTTGCCACAGTTTTGGAAGTGTCTAAAATGACTGTATCGATCCCAATACTTTTGGCAATATAGCGTGCAAGCCAGCCTAGCTTTTCAAAATCATTGTCTGCAATTTAATAATATTGACCTATTAGCCTACTTTTGCTATTGCTTTTGACCATTAGGTATCAGTAACATAATTCATTCAGAACCTGTTTTATTGACATAGACTTTCTGTACCACACTATTCTGCTGATATGGAATGAGTTTGACTACTTAATCAGTCATATTAATAGAAATGCTTCACTGGGGCAAACAAAAAAAATCCTAAAATAATAAATAGGATACCCCATAGCAGCATTTCCAGCAGTATCCAACACTTCTAAATCATGATCTTGATTCAGCTAAATGTGACTATTAGCTTAACAGCTGTATTCCTTGTTTGCTAGCTACCTATGCATATACAGCATACGATGTTAAAAATGTTCTACATTATGAACCTTAACCCAAAAAACTTTAGCTTCATACACTAGATAATTGTGACCCTGCCTGTGGAAACCCAGCTAAAGTATTTTTTTAAACAGTGGATGAGTAATTCACTCATTGATTTGCT